TTTTAGTAATATTCATTTTATTATTTTCAAACAAAGTGCTGATTGTACATTAATGTGTGTAAATATTGAATGTATAAAGAAAGTACTTTATTTATATTTAAAAATGTTTGTCTGAAGAATGATTTTGTAAATTAAGTAAACACATTTCTTTTCCTTAAATCTATATTTTAATGTAAAATACATAACATTCTTTCAACTATCCTCAATACATCTTCACTTATTAGTTTTTAAATCTGAAACTCTGTAAATTACAGTGGATCCACAGCATATGGATCAGAATCCTGTGCATCTTTATTGTGCTTGACATAAACCTTTTTGCTTGTGAAATCTCTTTTGTTTTCCATACTTCCCCTTTTTGGTAGTTCATCATGTTGATACATAGATTTTAATTCTCCAAAAAGTTTGGCATCTTCATGTACAGTGTCCCTAATTTTACATAAATATAAAATTGTTTTTTTAATAAGTTTCAAATATATTATTTCAAAAGATAGGTTAAATACTTATAAGAAAAGAATATGTACCTATACTTTCCTACAACAACCTTTTTACCAGTTACAGGATCTATAATATCACCTAGTGGATAAATGACATCAACAACCTATAGATTTAAGTAAAAAATAATATTAAACTTTTGTGAAAATGCTAGTAAAATACAAATCCATTTTTTCCGAATATACGTACTTTGTGAGTAATGACGCGTGTTAATTTGTCCGGTAAATTTTGTATTAAAACAGTATCACCTGTTTTACAACACTTTTTAGTATCGGCAGCATAAACAAATTCGTATTTAGTGAAATACTGCAATGTGATAAATGAACACATAACCTCAATTAGATGTTTACGAAGATATTTACAAATTACGTACCGTTAAAAGGTGATCATCGAAGTCCATTCGACGTATTCGTATTTTAGCAGCATTTTGTTTACTAGAAGGTACACATACCCCCAATAAATAAGTCAGTGTTTGTTTCCTTAGGGTATTCTTTGCCATTTTTACTACATATACTTGTGGTGTTTATAACCATATAGTATAGAGTAACCTTGATCGTGATACTAGGAAGATAATTTGTCGTGTAATATATTTCGTTATAATATAGTGACATACTTGCTTAATTATTTTGTTAGTTTCTATATCTTAACACGTTTGTAATTGTATTTGTGAAATATTGTTTGAAATTATACGTATTTTTATAAGTTGTAAATTTTATAGCTTACAATTAGAGAAAAGTTGCAGCTATAAATATAGGATACGTTTTATTTTTCTAATGTACTTCTTTAACAATTATAAGCTTATAAAATTGTGCTAGTTACTTTCAAAAGTTGTATTTGAAAATGTTACATTTGTATAATTTTTCAAAGAGAAAGAAGTAACAAGTACTTATATATCCTGAGTAGTAGACGAATTCACTATCGTCAACTTCAGTACGCGAGAATACTCCAGGGACCAAGGAGCTTTAATAATAATTAATCTCCAACTACTAACAGCGCAACTCTAGTTTTCGATAATGGGGCACTTAATTACGCGCTTCCTTAATTAATAACATCGCAGATACTGAATATAGTTTGAACAAGGGAGGAGTTAATAAGAAGGTAAACGTGTTACATTTCATTTCGTCGTCCTATTTGTCCGGTTACTCTTTTATATTCTTTTCTAATAAATTCCAATCGATGCATCTGTCATTTTTTTATAAACACGAAAATGTATGTAGCTCGTTGCTGTGCACACTTGGGCGCGTTTCTTTCTCCCTTTTTAATTACGATCTTGTGTTACTTTTTTGTCGCGTTATAGCGAGAAAAGAAAGGATCTATTTGTCAAGAGCGTGGCAAAGAAAATCACGCGAACGAAGAGAAAAAAAAGTTGGCGAGACAGAAAACACGGCTGAGTCGATAAGAGACAACGTCCTTTGTACAAACATTTGCAGTCAGATTGTGGCTGCGGGCTATGGACAATTGGTTAGAAGAAATATCAGTAGATATCGCGGAAAGATTCATAGGAGATGAACGAGCGAAAGACAAGCGTGGTGGAAAGAGATCGTCTGGAAAAGGGCCTTGAATCAAAGAGCAGGTTATGTATTTCGAAATGTATTACTTTCATCTTTTATTCGTTCTTTCTCTTCCATGTATTACGTATGTAAGTATGTACATGCCTTGGCATCTGCGAGTCGCGTTGTTATTGCGGGATGTAAAGAAGCAAGAGAATTCATGGGTGATCGCTTCGTGAATCGACGTCGACCGAGCCGTCATTCAACCAGGAAATTCCATTGTCGGCAAAAAAATCGGAACAACTGCAGGTCGGTTGTAGCTGTTGCCTCTGTTACAATGCATCTTGCTCCTATAACTTCGTTTCTTTTTTTTTTTTTTTTTTTTTCTAGCCAACTGTTTGTCGAACGTGTAGGACGATGAAAAAGAATTTAATTCTTTTCGCACGAACGAAAGTATTGCGTGAAATTAGTGAAAAATACAACACGATTGTCACGGACAGATGCAATCAGGCCGGACGGTTGAAAAATTAACGCGCGATTTATCGATGGTGAATATTTATAATAAAATTAACAATGTCATCGGTCCGCGTGTACACTTAGCGAAACTGTATGTAATCACGATGCAAGTTTTGATTAGACCCCCTGCTCCCATCAATTCTCGTTTTTCCGATGTGTACGTATCTGCATTTACATATAAATATGATCGCGTACCTCCCGTGATCCCATCGGTCGCAACATTGCGCGCTACATGTACGAACAAAATGCATAAATTAAACTCGTTGTACTATGTACCGCTATCTGTGTAGACGGCTCGCATTAAGTGTGTACGTGTTAGAGAAAATATGCGCGTTTCGACTGGATAAATCGGTTCTTTCGTTTTACGAATGTTAAGGAAAATTTAACAATCATAACATTAATAAGAAGAATTTCAATGAATTACGTTGTGGAACAAAAATTTCTCTTTCTTTCTCACAAACAGGCTACACGCTAAATTAATATTCTTTTCAGGTGGCACACACCCCATACGTTTACTTTGTGATTTTTCACGCGTACAGATTCACGCGTAAACATATCGGTAAGGGGCATTTTCCGGAATGCGCAGCTGCGAAGAAGGGTGTGGAGCAGTATGTTTACACATGTAATCGTTCCTTGATTTATAGGCGTTGAAAAGGGAAGCAGGGGTCTTTGTTGTCTCACTTTCAAACACCGTCCTCACGGTACAACGTTAGAAATTAATACGACAATAATCATTGTAAACAATAAAGATCTGTTTTTTTAACACCCTTTTACATGTGTCTTTAATTACATCATCGTCTTGTAAACGTTTACGTAAGGCAAAAAGATCAAAGTTTCCAACAGGAAGTTTTTTGCCTGTCGGAAGACACCATCGTTAGTGAAAAATAAAAAAAAAGAATTCTCTGAACACTTCTGCTTTTGACGCGACCGCTTTTGCCCCTGTTCCACGTAGTACGATGACTGGGAACGGTTTTCTTCCAGGAAGAGCGCTAACAGAACATAAAGAGATTTTATAGAATGTTCGCGATCTCCATGGGATTTAATGGTGTTGACGCACGTGAAACAAAATGTCACGGGACATTACACTCTCTTCCGGTTCATCTGGCCGATAGCTTTGTCCATGCGTGAACCACTGTCTCTTTTCACCTTTCTCCCCTTCCTTTTACCCTCTGCCCCCCTCTTTTTCCCGGCGTGTCTGTCTCCTGAACATGGTTGCTGGGCCTTTGAAATCTATTTTCATTGTATGTAATAGCTTTTTGATGCTGGAGCTCAATGCGACGAAGCACACGCCGAGTGCATCGTTCGGTTATTGCGGTGCATTGATTTCTGAAAGGCCGACTACGTTAGCCTGATGCATCGCTCGTATAGCGCCGACCGGAAACTCGTCTTCGATGTTATCCATTTTCCAGATTGCGGGACAAAATAAAGCGAACGCGTGCCGGGCAAAATACTCCGTTTCCCTCTGCTCCTTTAGCCGATAATGCGCGCCAAGCATTTACCGCGGAAAATTCTCTACGCGGCCTTCGACCTTTGCGAATCGTATGAGAGCGGGTGGAGAGATACCAGAGAAACTACTGAAATGTTCTCTTTTTTCCTTTCTTTTTTTCTCTATTTTTCCCTTTTTCATGGAATCGTGTTTGATACACGGAGGTGGAACCAAAAGAAACGCTTCCTTTTGCCAACGGTACGATCTCACATAGTCATCGAGTGAATTAGCGTAAAGTAACTTCTACGTTTATTAATTCGGAAAAAATTTGTTGAAAGAAAGGGATGTTTTTTGTTTAAAAGGAGCAGGTGTGCTTGATTAGTTCGTTGTGGTGTATTTGAAAATGAAGATACTCGTAGAATGTGGAATAGTATGTATAAATTGTACGTATAAATATTTAGATGTTTTATACAATTGTCTCATTAATAATACTAGCGAATATGTATTTGTACGCCTTTTTATTACGGCCTATTACGGCCGGTATGCACGCTTTTACACTTTGCTGTGTATGCTCGCACATTGTTGCTAATAATTTCCCGCTTTTCATTAAAATGCATACATATGTCTTTTGTAGCGGTATTATTCATAAAGAATTAACAAGTCATTCGAGCTATTTCTTCGTAAAATTTAGATTGCAACAGAAATTAATAAAAAAAAGCATTTACTACTTTCAAATCTACTTACGCGTATTCAAATTCGAACAAAATTCCCGCCCGAATAATCGATCGAAGTGAAGGTAGCGCTGCGGTATTGCACGCGCAGATTCTCGATCGATATATCGAATGGTCGCGATCAAGTGGAATCCTTAAGACGTTTCAGTTCGTTCTTCGCGCGTAAAAAGTTCGAAGTGCATTCGCGTTCGCGTAGAAAAAGTGTCGATAATATCGCAGTGAGTGAGTGAATTTCCAATATGAGGAACAAAAAGAAATCCCGGAGCAATTGTCGATAGAATGTGCACCTACAGATGTTTCATCGATACGACGTATCGGCGTAAAGTGTCTTACGGTTAATGAAGCATCTTTGGTGAGTTATTACACATTTTACGTGGAACAGTCTTAAAGGGCGGAAAGGAGCCTTATACTAGGGGAAAAAGCAGGGGTAAAGTGGGGAGAGTAGTCGTAAGCAGGCCTGTTTCGGGCGAACGAGATTATCGTTGTAAAGTTGCTATCTAACGAATTTATGAAAGGCTACACCGTCGAGTCCCGATTTAATAACTGCACGCTCCTCTGTTCCTCTCCGGTTCGCCATAGTAAATTTTCGCTCTGCGTGTATTGCTGGTTCTTGGTTCGTGAAGCGTTGTGGCTAGGCGGCGGGAGGGGGAGGGTGGGGGATGGTATGAGTAGTAGTAGTGGGGAGAGAAAGATGGAGGTTAGAAGGAAAGACAGAGTGAGAAAGAGAGAGAGAGAGTTGGAAAGACGGCAAAAGGTCGAAACGTGGGCAGAACAGAGGAAGAGAGCCCTTCCACGAAACCAACGGAATTCCTTTCCTCCACTTTTCCTTGCTAACTCTCTCTCGAACCTTTCTGCTGATCCTTGAAAGGAGATATCGTCGCTTAGCCTTTTCCTGCCGGTGTCCTCCCTGAGACCCTCCCGGGCTTACTTCCGACCTACAAAGGTTTGTCTATGCCGCGGCGAGTAAAGCCGTGGGTATCGTCGAAGGATACAAATGCCGGCAGATGTTACTTGGTGAAAAATTCCTAGCTCGACCGACGCGGGCGAGCGCAATTTATTCTTATAGGGTGACTCGTTGAACTCGCGGGGCGGTCGAGTATTTCAAACGTCCGCTTTTCATTTTGCCGGTGTTACTAGATGGATGCATTTTAACGACGTGATCATTTTACGAAAATACGTCGTCGTAGCTACCCTTTGCTCTCTCTATCTATCTGTCTGTCTGTCTGTTTATGTGCACCTCATTTTTCCTTCGCGGGAAAAATCATTCTTTTTTATTCGGGGAGGGGGGATATTCGCGCGGAAGACGTAAAGGGATATTTCCATCGAAAACGGTGGATAGAGGTTCGACTC